GCACGTATTCTCGACGTCATACAGCCTCTGTCTGGACCGCACGACTTCTGATTGGTCGGCACAATTCACTTGTGGTTGGTTGTTCAGAAAGTGTAACGCGTAGGCTCTTGACTGGCGTCATCTGGCATGGTTGATTGAAACTGAGTCATAAACTGAGAGGCTGAGATGAGCGGGGGGTGCAATGTCCGTAACAAGCTCGCAAAGATGGCTGAAGCTATATTGTGTATGAAGAAAACGAAAAAAGGTTTGATCACCTGCCCGGTGGTTGAATGGGCAGTATGCTTGTGTTCTGCTTGTTCGACACCGGATTTGATCTATTTTCCCTGCTGATGAGACCTAACCAAGTCGAAAGAGTTGTCCAATGCCTCCCAGCTTTTCAGTTTATGCTTCGTTTGCTCTATACACAACGAATTCCACCATATATAATTAAACCAAGTGCTCCATTACTCTCATGTAATGTCGCCATTGTGCTCCTCTCTTATCATATCAAACAGAATGGAACTGTGTGTGTGTGTGTCTGTGTGCGTGTGTTAATCTAACAACTTCATTCTGTTTTCACCAGTCTGAGCTTGTTCATGTTCAGATTTAACTGTCCAATATAGTGAGCTGGGCGTTGGGCATCAAAGTTCCATTTTCCACATTTTCGTTCGTACAATGCTGACTAAGATGGTGCGATTGATCACAATGGGTTTCTTTGTCTGTATATGTCATCATCATTTTGGTCGAGTGAATGCCACCGTGCTACCAGTAAGCACTCAGCTTGTGTCACTCCAATGTACAACAGTCCCTCGAATGTATCGCAACCGTGTAGGCCCTAATCAGTAAAGATTGCTATCGATCGACCGATTCAGTGCAAATAGACAGAATTTCGGTAGCTTGACCTTGATAGTTCACACCGTATAACCTATAAGTTCAGTCGGTTAGTGACGGTCAATGTACGTACACCAAAAGCTGAATTTCAACCATTTGTCAGGTGTCATATTTTCGCTGGAAATTGTTCAACATATTCACATATTCATCTGGAAGGAATGTGGAGTGACAAATCACGTTGTCCGCGGGATTTTCTCAACTTAAGATGAACCGGTACTCCACCTCTACCCCGCCCTCGCCTCCACCCCTCCCCATCACAATCAGACTGTTAAATTGCTAATCGGCAATTCCTATTTTTGCACACAAGACTTGCTCATATATCTGGCTGACGCATTTCGCAATTCTATGGATCTCTGCCAATAAATGATGTGGTTATCCCCGGAAGGGAAAATAAATGTTCATTCTGTCATGGGAAACGGACACGATGCTGATGTGTGTGTGCGTGTGTGTGTTTCGGGGGGCGGGGGGGGGAGGGCTGAGAAAACAATGGAAAAAGCCTATTTCATCGAAGTGCTACTCCCGGGAAATCGGGTGTGATTTAAGTGGCACTCTTCAGTTTGGTTGTGATAGTTAGCTTGTGAGAAAAATATGAATGCATCAACTGTCGACAGTTTGAGAAACATCTTCGGGGGTCAGCTTTTCGAACTAATTGATAATATGGCCAATCGGAGTCAGCTTCGAATATCATTCAAAACGCAATGTGTGTTAGTTCATTAGGTACATGATCCTCAACCGCCTCGATGATCAAACCTCGAAAAGCTCTGAGTTCACAGACATGGATGACGAGCAAGTATCGATTTACCATGATTATGTCAGCTAGAAAAAGCCACGTTAGCAGGTGGTGGCGGAGATGGAGATGATGATGATGAGGAGGAGGAGGAGGATGGCTGGTGTTGTTGTTGTTGTTGATGNNNNTAGTTGCAATCAATGGTATTCTAGGTTCTAACCCTGCCACCACCATCCATCCAGATTTGGACGTAGCTTCGTTGTCAGTCGATTCGGTAGTACACTTATCCCGGTGGACACCGAGTCTCCGAGCCTTGAACTGTGGATTATCATCATCCCTGACGAATAGATGTTTGTGAATATAGGGGGTTTAGGTACTCCACAAGTAATCGACAGGAAATTAACTGGGCTCAACGGAATTGAACTACTAAAGTGAAATGTGTAGTACTAGTTTGCGTTAAATCCAACCGAACCGTTCATATGGGTTATCTAAACTTATTTAATTGACTTGGAACAAAGTAGATTATGCATGATCAATCACGGACAAGATGAAATGCTTAACTTTTATTCGACGTGACGAATTTAATGCGCTTGCTTTTTGATAGTCCTCAACAAGAATCAGTAAACAGTGAAAATGTTACGAGCCTCAATGCCTTGGGGTTCAATAAGGTCTTAGTTTCAAAGGATGTCCACACTAGTTCATCTCCGAAATTTGGCACCCACTAAATGAAAGAAAACGAAACTTCACACGCTGCAAATTCCTTCATCTGTACCTTTTGCAATTCCAATTGTCTCAATATCATTTCGAAATGTCTGGGCATCATTTCAAGATGTCAGACCATGGTTTCAAGTTGTCTCGTTGACCTCACCGGCGTAGACAAGCCTTCCAGCGATGTCTGGATGACCATCATGCAGCACAGATTTCTCTACCACCTGTTGAAGTGCGGAGGGACGATCGTGAGGCGTGCCTCGATCACATACGCCTAGATTCCCATGACATACATATTGGTTGTTTGTTTTGCAAGCACAGGTACACGTCTGTGTGTGTGTGTTTGTTTGTCCCCCTCCGCTGATACCGGTGAATCATACGCGATCAACGCTTGAGCCATTGCTTACCTCCGTAGCATGATGGTGCAATGGGATTTATAAGCTACACCTCAAGCGGTCGCACCTGGGACAACAATTGAGCATGCTCGATCGATATAACGCATCAGTGTTGTTGGCCAGATTCACATCCAGTTTGTTCCAGACTTTCAGGTTATACAGGTTATAGTTTAAAAAATAAAAGGGAATCCTCCGTTTTTAAATTGCTAGAGGAAGAATCGAAGATAGTGCTGTTGGGTGTAAAAAAACACCTTAAATCAAAGTCAGCAGCTAGATAACTTTGACATCGGACCGTTTGTGTATTGACTTACTTGGATGAAAATCCTCTGCTTCTAGCTTGGATTCAGAAGAGTCAAAACTCGGCTGCCGCGGGGGGATGATTCAAACGAAAAGGAAAAATGAGACGTATTCAATCTGCTTCAACCTCTGTCATCTATCAAAATATGTTCTGCTATTAACAATAGCCAGTTGCGTTTCATCCACTTTAGGCTTGTGCAATGCGCATATCTGACCAACAAACTTCAATCAAGCAGGCAGTACACAGGATGGAGACGGGATAGCGAGTAATCAGCTGATCAGAGGGCAGGCATGCAAGCAGGCCGCTTGAGGACGCATAATCGTTGATCTGTCAACAAGAGCAGACAGCATTCAACTCATGTGTGGCGCATGGGAACGAGGCTCACTTTCTCTCTCTCCGAGAGTCACTTACAGATGCTTACAGATATATCGGAAACAACCTTTTCCCTTGATCCATTTGAATAAAACATGTAACACAATATGAGCAGAATTGATATTGGCCATCAACTTCGCGTGCTCTTAATCAGCTGTCTACGCACATTAAATAGGTTGAATTTTATCACAAGAATACCATATATGGACATTTACATAATTACATGGGTTCGGGCAGAAAGCACTGGGTTGTTGAGTATGTTCCGAATAACTTATCACTTCGAGGAAGAAAAAATTCCAGCAAGCACAGTGGCACGACACATTTGCTGGATAGCGGACACTGCATGGACAAATGCAAAGCTTTCCGCGTTGTGCCCAAAGTTCGAAGCCCAAGGATGCTTAGGTTTGCTGAAGCGGTTGTCATTTGCCGTTTAAAGCCTGACCTATGCGTGTAAAAGGCCTTTGTGATGCTACTGTTTTTATTACCATGGTAATTCCCCGCTCTCTTTCCTTCTCATCATTTCAACCGTTCTTTCACATCATCGTTTACACTTCACCCCTCTCATTTTTCTTATTACGTAACTCTCTTTGACTTACTTAATTGACCAATTTTTTACTGCCTTATTTTTCTACGTCTGTTCGACTTCATTTCTCGTTTTATCTTGTCGTATAACGTAACCATGTCAGACTCTCTTTCCACTACGGCTAATCGTTTTCCATTACGTAGCTGTTTCTATGCTAACATTCCCCTCCTCCTCGTTTACCCATATACTCAAATGACTTTGGTAATGACTCAACAGCCCAGTGCTTTCTGCCTGAACCCATGTAATTATGTAAATATCCATATATGATATACTTATGATAAAAATTTGACCTATTTAATGTGCGTAGACAGCTGATTAAGAGCACGCGAAATTGATGGCCAATATCAATTCTGCTCATATTGTGTTGCTCACAGATATGTTGCTTCTAGGTCTGGGTGAGGGGGCGGGCAGTGAGCGTAAAACACGGACGAAAAATGTGTGACCCACACTTTGTACACTCAAACAATGGACATTATCTTACATTTCCACGAGACACACGTGTTTAGCGTACAACGAATCGATTGGGAACGCATCGATCGAGAGGTAGGGTGGGTATGTCTGATGAAAACAGATAATCAGAGGGTTTGAC